GTGGAGGGGGCATTGGCCAGCAATCAGGTATAATTTGTTCAGGTGACTACAATGCCTGCTAAAGTGTGAGAAGCACCAGATTACAATATTTCCATCAACAAAGAAAACAGTGATTAGCATTAATTGTAAGCAGTTGTTGAAACAACCCAACAATGCTTCCTGCTGATTACCATTTGTTCTTACAGCAAGTCATCCATTCTTTCATGATGACATGGAAAGTTTCCAGGTCCACATGCAGGTCTCTCTTTTCAGGATCAAGCATCCTCCATAATTCCTCAAAGCCACCGTCTTCATAATCTTGACTAGTTGTTTGTCTTAGGTAATCTATTATTTTGGCAATTCTTACTGAGCCTTAGAAAGAAAAAAGGCAAATTAGTTTTGAAAGATGAGTTAAGAGTATTTCTTGTGAGGCGCTTCTCTGATTCCTTGGGTCCTGGGAACATGCCATCTAACCTTGCAATCCTGCTGAGGTGGCATGGTAGGCTGAGCCTGGCCTTGGGCTGGAGTCTAATGGAGCTGGTCAAATCTTGGCTGGAATGTACCAGCTGAGTGGATTTGGGAAAACTACTTAAGTCTCTTTGAGCCTCAGTATCCTTATCTATAAGATGCCACTTTAGTTTTGTCTCTCATTCTTTCCTTATAAAGCATTCAATGAAGAAAGTTTTCCCTCTGCTGAGATGAAATTTCAGTCTTAAGTACTCTGATTTTTTTGGGGGGGAGACAGGGGAATCAGGGTAGAGAGGTCATTTTTAGATACAGTTAGTCCTACTGACACATTCAGAAATGAAAATCATCCAGGCTAAGTTACTAATTGACACACCAATCTTCTTTAAGCATAAGACATCTTTTTTACTTATAACTAAGGCCTGCCCTGAGCTATCTGCCTTGGGGGAGGAGGTGTGGGAGAGCCAGGTCATCACCTGTGCTTCTGACCAAGTAGACAGATTGGAGGTTCTAACAACCTCCTCCTTGGGTTCAATTAACTAATTTGCTAGAGTGGCTCACATAGCTCAGGGAAACATTTTACTTACTAGAACACCAGTTTTTATAAAAGGATATAATTAAGGACCAGCCAGATGGAAAAGATGCATAGGGTTAGTTATGGGGAAAGGGCACATAACTTTTGCACTCTCCCTGGGTCTCCACTCTCCAAATCTCCACGTTTGTTCACCAATCTGGAAGCTCTCTGAGACCTCTCCTTTTAAGTTTCTACAGAGGCTTCATTAGAGAGGCATGATTGATTAAATCATTGGCCATTGGTGACTGAATTCAATCTCCACTCCATCTCCCCTCCCCCAGAGGCCTGGGGGTGAGACTGAAAGTTCCAACCCTCTAATCATGGGTTTGATTCCTCAGGCAACCAGCCCCCATCTTTAGGTGGGGTCAAAAAGTCACTTCATTAACATAACAAAAAACAGCTTTATTGCTCTCATAATTTAGGAAATTCCAATGGTTTTAGGAGCTCTGTTCCAGAAATGAGACAAAGAACAAATATATATTTTTTTATTATAAGTCACAATATCACAGATGCTAAAACTAGGGAGGGAAAGTTTGATGAGGAATAGGGTATTTATGTAACTCAAAGGATCTTCCCATAAGTTACATTAATTACAAAGGAAAAATAGTAACTTTACAATGGGAAAACAGCAGACACCACACTAATCAAGTAATCAAAGTTAAAAAATCCTCATATATTATACTGAGAAGAACGTATCACTCTGTAGTATTTGCAAAAATGTATAACCTGGATAATCAAGAGGAAATACTAGATCTTTTACAAAGCAACTGGCCCATACTCTTCAAAAATTTCAAAGTCATAAGAGACAAGGAATCTGAGGGACTGTTCCAGATGTAAGGAGACTAAAGAGATGCGACAACTAAATACAAGAAGTGATTCTGAATTGGATCCTGGACCAGGAAACAAAAAGGTTATAAAATACACTATTGGGACAATTGACAAAATTTGAATATAGGATTTTGAATTAGATTATCCTATTGTATCACCATTAAATATCCTGATTTTCATCATTGGTCTGTGATCATGCAAGCAAATGTCCTTGTTTAATACAAAATACACACTAATATAGTTAGGGGTAAAAATAAGCCACAGCTTACTCTCAAGTGATCAGAAACATAATCAAGCTTTTATCCTGCCTCTCCTTTGAGATTCAGGACAGCCAAATAGTTGATGAAGCAGGGGAGTTTCTCTTATAGCCTATTCCAGCTGATAAATTAGGAAGGAATAATAGACTATCACCATTTGCAACACCCAATGAAAGAAGAGATTTAAGCCTTCATCATCAATAGTTTTGCTTTCTGATAAAAATACATAACACATCTATGTAGAGTTCTTGACTAAAAATATATAAACCAAAGTTTATCCAATCAAACCTCTAAGAATAGGGGACAGAGAGAGAAGTTAAGTGTTCCTACAGTCACACTATCACCAAAATTCAGATTGGGGGAAACTCTGGGATAAAAGATCCAGTGTTATTAACAAATAAAATACAATAAAAATGAGAGATGGAAAGGGAGCAGAGATATAAGCCAGAAAGCTAATTACTATGAACAAACCTTTCTTGGATATTGATTTGAACAATTAAACTGTTTAAGAAAAAAATTAATTTCTCTCACAAGTGAGAACTTTTGAATATTGAAAAGATATTTGATATTAAGAAATTATGTTATATTTTTAGTCATAATAACATGGTGCTTGTGTTTGAAATCGGTCTATCTTTTAGAAAAATGTATTGAAATATTTACAGGTGAAATATTATAATGTTTTGGATTTGTCTCAAAATAACCCAGAATGAAGAGGAAAACGAGTGGGGTTAAAAATGACACATAATTGGTTATGACATTTATATAAGGGTTCTTCATACTATTCTCTTTACTTCTGTATATGTTTAAAATGTTCTAAAATAAAAAATATATATATAATCTAAATAAAAGAAAACCATGTTGACCAAAGAAGTTGTGGAAGATTATAAAACAAATCACTAACAATTGTTACTCAGGGGAAAAGAATTACTGATGGTTTTTCTCCTTTCTTTTTTGCTTATCTATCTACATACTATTAATTTTACTACAGTGAGTATGAATCACTTATGTACTAAAAATTACTTGCGGACATTTTAAAAAGAACACATCTCTAAAAAAAGCAGAAGTGAAAATCTAAAATTAAAAATTTTGAGCTAAATGTGTATGTGGTTTTATACATTTTGAAGTAGGTATTTCTTTTGTGGCAACACCCATGACAGGTCAGCAGTTCCAGTCCACGATTGGACCTCGGAAATCAGTGGATCAGCTCAATGAAATCATTCAAGACATTGGTAAAACATGCAAAATAGGTAGAAAGAAGTTATAAAGAGATAAACAACACTTAAACAGCCATCCTTAGTCCCAAATTAGGTTGCATCCACCACGTGTGTGCAGACAGGCCCACGGAGCACCACGTGTAACCATTTCCCTTTCTCTCCCAGGAGAAAGTGCAAGGCCTTGATAGATACCACAAACATTTGAGCAGGTACTGTTCAACTTACCCCTGCATTTGGTGTCACATGCATGAAAAATGCCTGTGAAGAACCTTTCACAGGTCCTGGTAATGCTGTCTGTTACACCTTCCTTGCTGTCATCGGCTCCTAGTTTCCATCCTATTAGAACAAAGAGTTTGCAAATCCAGAAATGCTTTTCTGTGCTGTAATGATTAGTTTTTTTGTTTTAATTTGAAAAAAGAAAACATTTAAATAAACAGAATACAATACTGATTACTTAAATGGACCAGGCAACAAAGTGGTGTTGAAGGTCTACTTTCATTTTTTTCTTTTAATTTATAAGTTTTATAAACATAGGGGAAAAGGAGAGATGGAGAGGGGAGTGAGCTTTTTTTTTGCCCTGTAACATTAAGAGCACCCTGTGAGAAGGCAAGTAGTATAATAGAGGGAGAGTTGAAACACAGCTATACAGAGTGTGTGTCATTTTACAAGGTTTGGTTTTTCAGTGTTTATCATATATAGGACTCTGTAAGCAATTCCTTAAATAAAGTTCCCAAAATTTCAGTTGAAATTGGCCTGCGAAATTTATATTCTCCCCTGGCCTGAGTTATTGGCTGTATTTGGAATCCACACTTCTTACATGTTTTACTCTCCCACACACGAAAAATTGCTAAAATGCTAGTTTTCAGCAAGGTTCTTGGGAACTATATGAATTTTAACTCCCCCGCATCTATGTATTTCCATCGTGACATTCCAATTTGTCCTGGAGAACGTTTGTTTTCAGGTCAGTAGAGAAATACCAATGATTATGATTGTAAATACAATCCAGAATTTCTATCAGGTTTTAAGTTGAAATCATAGAAAATATTTATATTTTACATATAAAATTTCCTCTTAAGACCAAAAAAACCCCACAGCAAAACAATACGTTAAAAGGGAAAGATGAATGCTTCCATCTAGACTTTAGTGATGTGAATTGGGGGTTTTGTTGTTGTTGCTGTTTAAAATTCAGGTATTCTGAAAGCGACATGCTTATTGCTCTATTGAAAGAATATTAAAAGACAAATATTTACCATCTTCATTCAGAGACCATTTTTTCACCACTGAATCCTGAGGAGTAAAAATTTCTGAGCTTTGATCAGAGGTGGAATCAAAGTCAAGTTTTAAGGTGCTAAAATGGTTTTCATTACGACAGTTATTCAAATCCTTGTTAGAGAAGGGCTCCCCCTTTCTGATCTGCGACACCAAGGATACATAATTCTGGGCGCTCTGGGTTCTCAGCCTTGAGATGTTTTCAGGACTTGTGAGGACAGGGTATATTGAATTCTCAGGGGAGCTGAGATGAGAGGTGGCTGGGGTTCTTGGAGACACAGTTTGAGGAGATGAAGCGAAGGCGTCATCTTTCTCAGAGCCTGAGAAGTGAGTGTTGGTTGTAGGAAGGCGAGAGGCAGTCATCCTCCTCAGTACCTCTTCAAAATCTTTCCTGGTGTTAGTCTGCGGACTATCAAAGCTGCTAGATTGGTATTTGATGATCTGTTGACTTGGATTTGGAAGCTCGTCTCTCTTTTGGATGGCTCTGATTTTTCTACAAATGCTTTCCACTGGGTTATGCCGCCTCTCAGTTCCCTTCCTCGCAGGGGCCATTGTTGACTGTCCTCCAGTTACACAGATGAACTGGCTAAAGCACAGGCAAGAGCAGACAGGTGTTTTAAAGTCAGCACTGTCCTAACAACAATTTAGAGGTAGACTATTGATTCCTAAGTCGGCCTTAGAGGGATCGAGATAAGATGCCTTTAAATAATGGTCCTTAAACAATTGCTTTAAACTTGCTGTGTGTTTAACTTTGGCACTCAAATTTCTAGAAAATATTAACAGCTAACATATATAAAATACCACGTGGCAGGCATGGTACTAAGTTCTTTATAAATATCAACTCATTTCGTCCTCAAAACAACCCTATGAGGTAAGCATTACTATCATCTCCATTTTCAGGCAAACAGAGAAAAGGGGACGTACCCAAAGTCGCCCAGTTAGTGCCAGAGCCCAGATTTGAACCCAGGCAGTCCTGCTCCAGAAGCTGACCTCCTAACCACAATGCTTTCCATTTATTATATATGTCAAATATGATGATAATGGCAGAAATGCTAACAGCTTTCATTTGAGTACCTGTTTTGATTCTCATCTATTGAGAACTTACTAAATATGTCCTATATTAGGCGTTTTACATGTGTTATGTCTCAACTTTACACAAACCCTGTCAGATATATGAAAATAGCCCCATTTTTTAATAGTTTATTGGTTTTTAGAGACAGAGGAAGGGAGAGCAAGAGGGTAATGTCCATCGGCTGCCTCCTGCAGGCCCCCAACCAGGCATCAAGCCCCAAACCCAGGCATGTGCCCCGACGGGGAATTGAACCAGCAACCTTTCTTGTTGCATGGAATCCTTTTCTATTTAAAGTAATAATCACTTTAAACCTTTTTTGTTATCACTTGACAATACCCTTCTTTCTATGTATTCAAGGGTTATCTTTCAATGACTACCCTAAAACACCTTCCTCTATTCCAATCCTGGAAGCAGTGTCTCATTGGACTCAACTCTCTCTGTTCTCTCCTACGATGTATAATTGCACGTATATTTTGTCATTTAATAAAATTGTCTTCAATTCTTGGATTGTTTCAAATGTGTATGCTTGTTGTCTTCTCAAAAACACTTTTAATTTTTGTATTCAAAAGTCATGATGTGATTCTTTTCTAGATACCCAGTGCATTATTATTGGCATAACTGATAATCCACAATTATATATTGTGTAATTACAGGGCTTGCGAACTTGTTTCCCAGCTGTAGTGAGTGTTGGCTCTCAACTAAGCAGCTATCCCCCTTTCTAGAGAATCTCCCCTGGCCATCCAGGAGCTGCACATTGCTCAGCTGGGAGGCTGGAAGTGAAGCAGTGGCGACAACAGAAGTGAATTCACCCGTGAACATGACACGTTCCAAATCTACGGCTGGTGGTGACAGAGCAGGAACCATCTGACTTCCCCATGCGAAGGGAAGAGTGCTATACAAGACTGGTTTAAGTGTCTGTCCATGTTCTCAGTGCGATGTGACTGTGTTTCCCTTCGAGAGCCAGAGAACGGAGACACAGGTTGAGCATGGGGCTAACAGAAGCCTTGGGATTAGGACCTCAGACTCCCAGATCCTGCCTGCCTTCCTCGTTGAACAGCGATGTGATGTTCAAGCCACAGTCAAAGATCTCATGTTGTGGGCCTTTGGGACTGATCCAAAAGGGTCCCTTACTTTTTGAGACAGCATGGAGGGACTTGTAGAGTATTATGCTAAGTGAAATAAGCCAGTCAGAGAAAGAGAAGTATCACATGATCTCACTCATATGTGGAATCTAATGAACAAAATAAACTGATGAACAAAATAGATCCAGAGACATTGAAGCATGGATCAGACTGACAAATCTCAGAGGGACGGGGTGGGGAGCGAGGGAAGGCATTAACCAAAGGACTTATATGCATAACCATGGACACAGACAATAGTGCGGTAGCCTGGGGCTGGGGGTGGGG